TCGACCCCCTGAGGACCCCCCCAACCACTCAGGGACACCTCAACCCCTTGGGGACAACTCAACCCCCTCCTTAACCCCCTGAGGACACCCCCAACCGCTCTGGGACACCCCCAATCCCTGAGGACCCCCTACCCCATCGGGTACATCTCCAACCCCTCAGGGGGCACCCTGACCCCTTGGGGACACCTCCCCCAGACCCCAGATTTGGGGGTCCTCCTCCACCCCCACCGTCCCTTGTGTCCCCCCTTTCCAGCTGCTGAGGAAGAGGCACATCGGGAACGACATCGTCACCATCATCTTCCAAGAACCCGGAGCTTTGCCCTTCACCCCCCAGAACATCAGGTCCCACTTCCAGCACGTCTTCATCATCGTCCGCGCCCACAACCCCTGCACCGACAACGTCTGCTACAGGTGAGGGGGTCACCCCACCCCACCGCGTCCCAGGGGCTCCGGGTTCATGGTCAGGTTGGATCTCGGGGAGCGTTTCTTCACCCAAAGGAGTTGTCCAGCGTCGGGAGAGGCCGCCCAGGGAAGTGGGGGAGTCACCGTCCCTGGAGGGGTCTAAAAGATGTTGAGATGTGGGGCTTGGGGACGAGGGGTGGGTGGTGGGACAGCTTTGGGGTGGAGGGACATGGTTGGGTGGGGTGGTTGAGGGGTGGGACGTGGTTGGGTTGAGAGGTGGGATGATGTTGAGTTGATGGTTGGGTGCTGGGATGTGGATGGTTGATGTGGTGGTTGAGGTGGTGGGATGTGGTTGGGTTGGGTTGAGAGGTGGGACAGTGTTGAGTTGATGGTTGGGTGATGGTTGGGGTGGTGGTAGGAGGTGGTTGGGTTGGTGGGACATGGGTGGTGGTAGGGTTGGTGGGACATGTTTGGGTGGTGGTAGGAAGTGGTTTGGGTGGTGGTTGGGTTGGTGGGACATGGGTGGATGGTGGTAGAAGGTAGTTGGGTGGTGGTAGGAGGTGGTGGGACATGGTTGGGTGGTGGTAGGAGGTGGTGGGACATGGGTGGGTGGTGGTAGGAGGTGGTTGGGTGGCGTTTGGGTTTGGTTGAGAGGTGGGACGTGGTTGGGTTGAGAAGTGGGATGTTGTTGAGGAGATGGGACGTGGTTGGGTCAAGGGGTGGGACATAGTTGGGGTGGTGGGATGTTGGAGGGTGGTTGGGGTGATGGGATGTGGTGGGATGAGATTGGATGGTGGTTGGGGAGGGTGTAGGGTGTGGTTGAGTGGTGGGACATGGTTGGTGGTAGGGTTGAGAGGTGGGATGTGGTGGGGTGGTGGTGGGGGATGGTTGGGATGGTGGGATGTGGTTGGGTTGGGAGGGTGGTGGTTGGGATGTGGGTGGGGTGGGAGGTGGGACGTGGTTGAGGTGGTGGGACGTGGGTGGTTTGAGCTGGTTGAGGTGGTGGGACGTGGTTGAGGTGGTGGGACGTGGGTGGTTTGAGCTGGTTGAGGTGGTGGGACGTGGGTGGGTGGTGGACTTGGCAGTGCTGGGTCAACAGTTGGCCTCAACGATCTTCAAGGTCTTTTCCAACCCAAACCCTTCCATGATTCCATGACTTTATCCGTGCGGAGCGTCCCTGACCGGTTCCCTTCTCCATTTTCCACCCCCTGCCCCCCAAAGTGTGGCCGTCACCAGGTCCAAGGACGTCCCTCCTTTTGGTCCCCCCATCCCCAACGGCGTCACCTTCCGCAAATCCGACGTCTTCCGAGATTTCTTGCTGGCCAAGGTCATCAACGCGGAGAACGCCGCCCACAAATCCGACAAATTCCACACCATGGCCACCCGCACCCGCCAGGAGTATCTCAAGGACTTGGCCGAAAACTACGTCACCAACACCCCCATCGACTCCACCGGGAAGTTCAACCTCATCTCCTTGGCTTCCAAGAAGAAGGAGAAGACCAAAGCCCGGGTCGGGGCGGAACAACACAGCGCGGGGGCCATCGCTTGGCGCGTCTCCGCTCAGGATTTCGCCCGGGGAGCCGAGATCTCTTGCATTTTGGGCATCTCCAACGAGTTCTTGGTCCTCTTGGACTTGGGAGCCAAGGAGGTGGTCTTCAACTGCTTCTGCGGGGACGTCATCGGCTGGACCGCCGACGCTTCCACCCTCAAGATCTTCTACGGTCGAGGAGACCACATCTTCATCCGGGCGGCCGAGGGTGGCCCCGAGGACATCAAGGAGATCGTGCAGAGGTTGAAGGTGAGGCCTTGACTTGACCCCCCTTCTCTCAGAGTTTGGGGAGGTCCTACTTTAACAAGGAAGGGGGTCTTCCAAGTCAGGGAGGGGATCTTCCAACGCAGGAAGGGGGTCTTCCAACACAAGAAGAGGGTCTTACAAGGTGGGGAGGGGGCCTTCCAAGGTGGGGAAGACCTGGACGTTGGGGATGGGGCCTTCCAAAGTGGGGAAGATCTAGAGGTTGAGGATGGGGCCTTCCAAGGTGGGGAAGATCTAGAGGTTGAGGATGGGGCCTTCCAAGGTGGGGAAGACCTAGAGGTTGAGGATGGGGCCTTCCAAGGTGGGGAAGACCTGGATGTTGAGGATGGGGCCTTCCAAAGTGGAGAAGATCTAGACATTGGGGATAGGGAGGGGGAAAAGCCCCATCATTGGGGACGGGGAAGATCTAGAAGTTGGGGATGGGGCCTTCAAAGGTGGGGAAGATCTAGAGGTTGAGGATGGGGCCTTCCAAGGTGGGGAAGATCTGGATGTTGAGGATGGGGCCTTCAAAGATGGGGAAGATCTAGAGGTTGAGGATGGGGCCTTCCAAGGTGGGGAAGATCTGGATGTTGAGGATGGGGCCTTCCAAAGTGGAGAAGATCTAGACATTGGGGATAGGGAGGGGGAAAAGCCCCATCATTGGGGACGGGGAAGATCTAGAAGTTGGGGATGGGGCCTTCAAAGGTGGGGAAGATCTAGAGGTTGGGGATGGGGAGGAGGAAAAGCCCCATCATTGGGTACAGGGAAGAGGACGTTGGGGATGAGGCCTTCCAAGGTGGGGAAGACCTAGAGGTTGGGGATGGAGAGGAGGAAAAGCCCCATTGTTGGGGCCAGGGAAGATCTGGATGTTGAGGATGGGGCCTTCAAAGATGGAGAAGATCTGGACGTTGAGGATGGGGCCTTCAAAGTTGGGGAAGATCTAGACGTTCAGGATGGGGAGGGGGAAAAGCCCCATCATTGGGGCTGGGGAAGATCTGGATGTTGGGGATGGGGCCTTCCAAGGTGGAGAAGATCTGGATGTTGAGGATGGGGCCTTCAAAGATGGAGAAGACCTAGAGGTTGAGGATGGGGCCTTCCAAGGTGGGGAAGACCTAGAGGTTGAGGATGGGGCCTTCCAAGGTGGGGAAGACCTAGAGGTTGAGGATGCAGCCTTCCAAGGTGGGGAAGACCTAGAGGTTGAGGATGGGGCCTTCCAAGGTGGGGAAGACCTAGAGGTTGAGGATGGGGCCTTCCAAGGTGGGGAAGACCTAGAGGTTGAGGATGGGGCCTTCCAAGGTGGGGAAGATCTAGAGGTTGAGGATGGGGCCTTCCAACGTGGAGAAGACCTAGATGTTGGGGATGGGGAGGAGGAAAAGCCCCATCATTGGGGCCGAGGAGGATCTGGACGTTGAGGATGGGGCCTTCAAAGTTGGGGAAGATCTGGATGTTGGGGATGGGGCCTTCAAAGATGGAGAAGATCTGGATTTTGGGGATGGGGTGGGGGAAAAGCCCCATTGTTGGGGATGGGGAGGATCTGGATGTTGGGGATGGGGCCTTCAAAGTTGGGGAAGATCTAGAGGTTGAGGATGGGGCATTCCAAGGTGGAGAAGATCTGGATGTTGGGGATGGGGCAGTCCAAGGTGGAGAAGATCTAGAGGTTGAGGATGGGACTTTCCAAGGTGGGGAAGACCTAGAGGTTGAGGATGGGGCCTTCAAAGATGGAGAAGATCTGGATGTTGGGGATGGGACCTTCCAAGGTGGGGAAGATCTAGATGTTGAGGATGAGGCCTTCAAAGATGGAGAAGATCTGGATGTTGGGGATGGGGAGGAGGAAAAGCCCCATCGTTGGGTCCAGGGAGGATCTGGTGGCCAAGGTCCCCACCGGCCTTTCCCCACGTCCCCCAGGTGGTGACGGAGGGCTGCGAGACGGTGGACATGACCTTGAGGAGGAACGGGCTGGGCCAGCTGGGCTTCCACGTGAAGTACGACGGGACGGTGGCCGAGGTGGAGGACTACGGCTTCGCCTGGCAGGCGGGGCTGCGGCAGGGCAGCCGCCTGGTGGAGATCTGCAAGGTGGCCGTGGTCACCCTCAGCCACGACCAGATGATCGACCTCCTGCGCACCTCCGTCACCGTCAAGGTGGTCATCATCCCCCCCCACGAGGACGGCGCCCCTCGCAGGTGAGGGACAGCGGGCGGGGCGGCCACCGGTTTTGGGTGCCAGGGGTGTCCCTGGCTTCATGGCCCATGGGTACCAAGGGCCACCAGCTTCAGGTGCCATGGGTGCCACCAGCTTTGGGTGCCAGGGGTGTCACTGGCTTCATGTGCCATGAGCACTAAGGGCCACCAGCTTCAGGAGTGATGGTTGCCACCAGCTTTGGGTGCCATGAGCACCAAGGGCCACTGGTTTTGAGTGCCATGGTTGCCACCAGCTTCATGTGCCATGGTTGCCACCAGCTTTGGGTGCCATGAGCACCAAGGGCCACCAGCTCCATGTGCCATGGGTACCACCAGTTTTGAGTGCCATGGGTGCCACCAGCTTCATGTCCCATGGGCACCAAGGCCCACCAGCTTCAGGTGCCATGGGTGCCACCAGCTTTGGGGGCCACGAGCACTGAAGGCCACCACCTTCAGGTGCCATGGGTGTCACTGGCTTGGTGTGCCATGAGCACCAAGGGCCACCAGCTTCATGTGCCATGGGTGCCACCAGCTTTGGGTGCCATGAGTGTCACCGGCTTCATGTCCCATGGGCACCAAGGGCCACCAGCTTCATGTGCCATGGTTGCCACCAGCTTCATGTGCCATGGGCGTCACTGGCTTCACATCCCATGAGCACCAAGGGCCACCAGCTTCATGTCCCATGGTTGCCACCAGCTTTGGGTGCCATGGGTGCCACCACCTTCATGTCCCATGAGCACTAAGGGCCACCTGCTTCATGTGCCATGGGTGCCACCAGCTTCATGTCCCATGGTCACCAAGGGACACTGGCTTCATGTGCCACTGTTGCACCAGCTTTGGGTGCCATGAGCACCAAGGGCCACCTGCTTCATGTGCCATGGGTGCCACCAGCTTCATGTCCCATGGTCACCAAGGGACACTGGCTTCATGTGCCACTGTTGCACCAGCTTTGGGTGCCATGAGCACCAAGGGCCACCAGTTTTGAGTGCCATGAGTGCCACCGGATTCATGGCCCATGGGCACCAAGGGCCACCAGCTTCAGGTGCCAGGGGTGCCACCAGCTTTGGGTGCCATGGGTGTCACTGGCTTTGGGTGCCACAAGTACTGAGGGCCACCAACTGCATGTGCCATGGTGGCCACTGGCTTCGTGTACTACAAGCACCAAGGGCCACCACCATTGTGTGCCACGGTGGCCACCAGCCTCACATGCCATGGTGGCCACTGGCTTCGTGTACCACAAGCATGGAGGGCCACCAGTCTCATGTGCCATGGTGGCCACCAGCTTCATGTGCCACAAGCACCAAGGGCCACCAGCTGCATGGGCCATGGTGGCCACTGGCTTTGTGTACCATGAGCACTGAGGGCCACTGACCTTATGTGCCATGGTGGCCAACGGCTTCGTGTACCACAAGCATGGAGGGCCACCACCATTGTGTGCCGTGGTGGCCACCGGCCTCATGTGCCATGGTGGCCACCGGCTTCGTGTGCCACAAGCCCCGAGGGCCATTGACCTCATGTGCCATGGTGGCCAACGGCTTCGTGTACCACAAGCATGGAGGGCCACCACCATTGTGTGCCGTGGTGGCCACCGGCCTCATGTGCCATGGTGGCCACCGGCTTCGTGTGCCACAAGCCCCGAGGGCCATTGACCTCATGTGCCATGGTGGCCACCAGCTTCTTGTGCCACGAGCCATTGTGTGCTGTGGTGGCCACCAGCCTCATGTGCCACGGTGGCCACTGGCTTCGTGTACTGAGGGCCACCACCATTGTGTGCCATGGTGGCCACCAGCCTCATGTGCCATGGTGGCCACCAGCTTCTTGTGCCACACCACCATTGTGTGCCTTGGTGGCCACTGACCTCACGTGCCATGGTGGCCACCAGCTTCATGTGCCACGAGCACCAAGGGCCACTGGCCTCATGTGCTGTGGTGGCCACTGGCTTCTTGTGCCACAAGCACTGAGGGCCACCAGCCTCATATGCCACGGTGGCCACCGGCTTCTTGTGCCACAAGCACCAAGGGCCACTGGCCTCATGTGCCATGGTGGCCACCAGCTTCTTGTGCCACACCACCATTGCGTGCCGTGGTGGCCACTGACCTCATATGCCACGGTGGCCACCGGCTTCTTGTGCCACACCACCATTGCGTGCCGTGGTGGCCACTGACCTCATATGCCACGGTGGCCACCGGCTTCTTGTGCCACACCACCATTGCGTGCCGTGGTGGCCACTGACCTCATATGCCACGGTGGCCACCGGCTTCTTGTGCCACACCACCATTGCGTGCCGTGGTGGCCACTGACCTCATATGCCACGGTGGCCACCGGCTTCTTGTGCCACACCACCATTGTGTGCCGTGGTGGCCACCAACCTCACGTGTAGTGGTGGCCACCAGCCTCACATGCCATGGTGGCCACCGGCTCTGTGTGCCGCGAGCCATCGTGTGCCGTGGTGGCCACCAACCTCACGTGTAGTGGTGGCCACCAGCCTCACATGCCATGGTGGCCACCGGCTCTGTGTGCCGCGAGCCATCGTGTGCCGTGGTGGCCACCAACCTCACGTGTAGTGGTGGCCACCAGCCTCACATGCCATGGTGGCCACCGGCTCTGTGTGCCGCGAGCCATCGTGTGCCGTGGTGGCCACCAACCTCACGTGTAGTGGTGGCCACCAGCCTCACATGCCATGGTGGCCACCGGCTCTGTGTGCCGCGAGCCATCGTGTGCCGTGGTGGCCACCAACCTCACGTGTAGTGGTGGCCACCAGCCTCACATGCCATGGTGGCCACCGGCTCTGTGTGCCGCGAGCCATCGTGTGCCGTGGTGGCCACCAACCTCACGTGTAGTGGTGGCCACCAGCCTCACATGCCATGGTGGCCACCGGCTCTGTGTGCCGCGAGCCATCGTGTGCCGTGGTGGCCACCAACCTCACGTGTAGTGGTGGCCACCAGCCTCACATGCCATGGTGGCCACCGGCTCTGTGTGCCGCGAGCCATCGTGTGCCGTGGTGGCCACCAACCTCACGTGTAGTGGTGGCCACCAGCCTCACATGCCATGGTGGCCACCGGCTCTGTGTGCCGCGAGCCATCGTGTGCCGTGGTGGCCACCAACCTCACGTGTAGTGGTGGCCACCAGCCTCACATGCCATGGTGGCCACCGGCTCTGTGTGCCGCGAGCCATCGTGTGCCGTGGTGGCCACCAACCTCACGTGTAGTGGTGGCCACCAGCCTCACATGCCATGGTGGCCACCGGCTCTGTGTGCCGCGAGCCATCGTGTGCCGTGGTGGCCACCAACCTCACGTGTAGTGGTGGCCACCAGCCTCACATGCCATGGTGGCCACCGGCTCTGTGTGCCGCGAGCCATCGTGTGCCGTGGTGGCCACCAACCTCACGTGTAGTGGTGGCCACCAGCCTCACATGCCATGGTGGCCACCGGCTCTGTGTGCCGCGAGCCATCGTGTGCCGTGGTGGCCACCAACCTCACGTGTAGTGGTGGCCACCAGCCTCACATGCCATGGTGGCCACCGGCTCTGTGTGCCGCGAGCCATCGTGTGCCGTGGTGGCCACCAACCTCACGTGTAGTGGTGGCCACCAGCCTCACATGCCATGGTGGCCACCGGCTCTGTGTGCCGCGAGCCATCGTGTGCCGTGGTGGCCACCAACCTCACGTGTAGTGGTGGCCACCAGCCTCACATGCCATGGTGGCCACCGGCTCTGTGTGCCGCGAGCCATCGTGTGCCGTGGTGGCCACCAACCTCACGTGTAGTGGTGGCCACCAGCCTCACATGCCATGGTGGCCACCGGCTCTGTGTGCCGCGAGCCATCGTGTGCCGTGGTGGCCACCAACCTCACGTGTAGTGGTGGCCACCAGCCTCACATGCCATGGTGGCCACCGGCTCTGTGTGCCGCGAGCCATCGTGTGCCGTGGTGGCCACCAACCTCAGGATCCACTTGCCCCTTTTGGCAGGGGCTGGGCGGAGTCCGTGGAGCCGAGCAGCGTGGGGGAGCCCAAGGGGGGGGACGGGGAGAGCTTGCCCTCGGGCTACCGCCCCCCCTACCGCAGTAGCCCCGGCTGGCAGTGGAGCGGCCCCGCCTCCCACAACAACCCCCCCCCCGGGCACGGGCCAGCACTGGGGCGGGGGGGCAACAAGCCCAGCGTGGCCTACAGGGAGCCACAGGCGCTGCACGGCAAGAGGTGAGGGACTGGGAGG